ATAAAATTATTTTTTCGTCAAGAGGAACTTCTGATTCCATTGGTGATCAATAATTCTAGTGTTACAATATTCCGATACAAAGTTAAGACCTCAACTATTTGAATCACCCATCCCTAAAGGAGAGATGAATCATGTCAGCAACGACTTGTTAAACTAATGACTGGTGAAAAATTATTTTTGGATTCACAAAAAAGTTGTACATACCTGGATATCAGTAATATTTGTAAAGAGATCTTGAAGAGATATATTTTCCGAAACCAATTCCGATGTGTTTTCTGTCAGACATATACTACAAAAAACTGACACACTTTCAAGAGATGGAGGCCTCTCCATACTTAATCACTTTAGATATTCGACAGATGAATATTTGGTGCAGTAAATATCTGAGGCGATTGAATCAAGTTTCTCCAACTGTTTGTATTCAGTTTCCCAAACAACATTTTCAAAGAATCAGATTCAAACCTTATCAAAAGTGCTAACGTTATGTAAAATGAGATTATATTCCAAGGTCTGTGTTTTCTTCCATTCAGATACATACAATACAAATCATTCAATTGCAAATAACGCAGTCCTTGCATTATGCAAGTAGATGAAATTTCGAAGTTTGCAATTTTTGTACATACTTCTATCATTTATTTGTTTATTTCAAACATTAGTTAGGTTAGGATAAATATTTCGCGGGTGATCCAAATTTAAATTTTATGACATTTTTGAGATGCATTCGATTTGACCCCAAATCGAACGGACAGTGCGTGCAGTGTAGACAGCTTCTGATGTTACTGTAAAAAATATTCAAAAAACCCATTTTAAAACGAATGGCATAGGATTTTATTTGAAATTTGATGCAAGGGCCAAGTTGATTTATTCAGCAATATTCAATGTAGATTTTTGGTCAATCAATAACTATTAAATATGTTTCAAATGAGTCATTGAGTGAATTGATTTCTGAATGCTCATTTCGAAAAATGTTTGCGAATAAAATGTCTTTTACACATGTCGCATAGAAGTTGAAATATTTATTATTTAATCACAGAACATAAGTGTAATACATGCCATCTTTTCATTTACATTTACAAATACATCATTTCTGGAAACTATAGAAAGTAAAAGGTTCAATTTTTATGGAGATACCACAATCTCATCAGTGAGATGATAAGGTATATGATCCCAACAAACTCAATAAATAATAATTATGTTAATAATAATGAATATTATTTATTTAATGTGGCAGAGTGCAGCAGAACGCTATTCTTCCACTTAACACCACGCTTGAGAAACTTCCAAAGGAAGGAAGAAAGCGAATGATTTCAAAATGAACTCCTTACAAAGATGTGTAGATCATGCATGGAAGTTACTTTCAGATACAAACTGAAAAATAAGCCCTCTGGAAACAACTACTTTCATGTAAACATTGAGTTACACGAAAGAAAAAGTACTTTGGATAGAATTAATTTTATATGAATATTGAATTATATAAAAAATCACTTTTTTCTATTCAGTCTGTACTCCAAACATTCGTTATGGAATTGAAACAGATATCATTCACACAGGAACACTACACAATATAGTATATGAAAGAGTCCCCCCATGCCCCCTCACGGGTTAAGTGCTCTGAGTTGTGATGTGTGCAGAACATCCCATCTCGTCCATTCACCCCCGCTCCCCCGGAGCGGTCTTCAACTTATTGATGGGTACCTCTAAGATGGCCACTTCAGCAAGATTGACATCTGACCTTCTTTGGTCGAAAGTCAGCCTCTAGGTGCTTTTACTTTCTGATCTGTTGAATTGTTTTATCATGACTATGAAAGAGTTACAGTATGAAATTTCACTTATAGATGGAAACTACCATACTCAGTGGCGGACGTCAATGTTTCTGTATAAGACACTTGTCTTATTAACTATTCTGCACCAAACATAATTACAATACAAGAAGTACTCAATTATTTCATAACATATTTAGCAACATAGTAATGAAAATCGTAACAATCAATAACTCTCTCTTGAGAGTTAACGATTATGCTATAAAATCATTTAAAAATGGCGTTTATAATGTGACATTTGAAAAAACAAAAAATCCTACACGTGTATACACTTCTTTTCGTGGTTCCAATTCAGACCGATCCGCAGCTACAAAAGCTACCCCAGGTGTTGCTAAAGGATCTCTGGGGTTCTTAGCTGACCTTAGACTTCGTCTGATAGTTTTTGTTCTCCTAAATATTGCTTTCACGTCGTGTTTCTCTAAGATTCTCCCAATGCGGTCTGTAACATTTTCAACATAGGGAAAGAATGCTTTTCCTTGACCAACCCAGCTGGGGTTACTTTGGCGTGCTCTCTCAAGAACATCCAAGAAGGCTAGAGTCCCTTGGGCTTCTGTGAATTGGATTTTTGAATTCATGAAAAATTATCAGGAACGGGTCTTTTAGAGCAAGCGGCCATGAAACATTATTGTTGGCGGCATTATGTTGATGACGTTATGTTGATGACATATCTAAACTCTCTCGACCCAAAAATCCAATTTACAATGGAACGAGAAATCCAAGGGACTCTAGTTTTCTTGGATGTTCTTGTGAACAGACGTGAAAATGGTACATTGGGCCACATTGTACAGGAAACCAACACACACAGACAGGTACCTGAATAAGAACTTTTATCACCAGCCACATTCAAAGAAAGAAGTAATTAAACCGTTGGTTGAGAGAGCACGACGTGTTTGTGAACCTGAAAGTCTCCCTGAGGAACTCAATTACCTGAAAAATGCCTTAAAAGGGAATGGGTACAGCGGAAGAGAATTTGAGCGTGACATACGATCCAGGAAAGAGAACGTCAAAATAACAATATATACCATGATGACACTCAAAATAGAACGTGAAAGAAAAATATGTATTTCAATATTGATGAAAGAGCAATTTGAGTTTATGAATTGAAATGTATAAGAACCAAAAGTATGTAAACTTTTCAAAACTGAATCTTAAATTATATCTCACTATTGACCAATCTATAAATGTTCTGTTCTCACTAATTTTATTCCAGATTGAGTAATTCCTGCCAGAAGTTATAAAATGTCTCTTCTCGACATATTTTTATCGAGCAGAGAAAGCCAAAAACTTCCTACAATGACATATCTGGGATAGATTAATGCGAACGAAACGCACCTAATATCAGAAGAGAAGATTCACAGATGTAACATTACTTGTAAAATATTTTGATTCATATTTAATGGGTTAACAGTGAAGCAAACGTGTTCACTCACCTCAATTTGAATAATTCCATTCAAATATTCACATAACAATAAAATAGTTCACAACGCATACAAACTGCCATTGTTGATGATTCTAGAATATCATAGATTAACAAATGTAATATGTAATTCAATGCGTGAAAAATGAGAAATAGAACTTTCTATGCTTTTTATCACTTTTAATCGCAACTAATGTTGTAACTGCATTTTCCTCCTATAAGGACATTTTCAAGTAATTACAATAAACTACCACGTAGTAACGGCTACATCCATATATTTATTGTAATTCAAAGCAATCGGTAGACTTTCATGCATTTGCATACATATCCTAAAATAGTATTTTATGAGTGTCATGACAATTCATATCTCCCTTTCAAATCTTTATTTACATTATAACATAGAGTGTGCCCCACTGTACCGTCACACGAACAGCGATCTTAACGGTATCTAGATCTAGCATTATTTTAAATGAGCAGCCCACGTTAATCGAGTAGATCATATTAGTCGATAGATTTGCATGAAAACTCTACACCAGTAAGTTGCTACACCAGTTTAAGCATCTTTTGAACAATTTATGTTATGGTCATTTTACGATTTGTGTTTTGCACCAAGAAAGCAAATATTCTCTTGTCAATTGTTCCTGTGATTTCATCTCTTGTCAATCAGTTTTTTGTTATTATTGTGGAGATTTTGAGTTGAAAAAAAACTGCAACTATACCAATAGGAATGGTGGATATATATTGACTATATCACAGCATAGGCAATATTTACATATGCTGTGACTATATCAATTATCCACGGATTCGCTTTTTTAGTACTTTATTCAATTTGGTACATTTTAGTTCGCTTTCAAGTACTTTTTTCAAAGAGTCTTGGCAACACTGGTCACATATAGTAACAAAAAATATAAAAGGTTTGTTCTTGTTCTAAAGGTGGCCACAGACTAGCATACATGTGCGTCATACATGTGTGTCATACATGCTTGCGCGTTGATGTTTGCCAGTGTGTGGTGAAAAAATCGCAAACATGTACGTCGCACAAGTTTTCCAATTCGACCGGAATTCATGTATGCACAAGTTTGAGCGTGCAAACATGATTGTCGGTGTGTGGCCAAGTATGAAGCTTAGTGCGCATACATGTCCAGTTCAGTGTTTCACGGATTTTTTGGGTTGATCAGTTACTGTAATAAACTCTGTCCAGAAATAATCATGTCATCAGATTTAAGACATTTTTCTAAAGCGTTTATGACTGCTTTTATAGAGCTATATAAAAGTTTTCCGTGTTTATGGAAAACGAAGAGTCGTGATTATAAAGACAGAAACAAAAAAGATAGCGCTTACATGGTTTTGTTGAAAAAACTCCAGGAAATTGAACCGAATGCTACAAAAAAAAATAAGTTCACAAAGACCTACAGATACACAATTTCCAATGACTCCAACACCACAACAGCACCTATACCAAAATTTAGAAACTAGTTCACCTACGTCTCAGTATAATTCTGATATTTCAACGTTTTATGGAATTTATCAACCAAGTGAGGACAATCATTGATAGAAATATTTTTTGACTGATGCAGTAGATATTTACATAAATATTTTTTACTTAGTTTTGTATTTGAATAAATAGGATTGATTGAGTTTTATACGTTCTACTTATTTTATTACCAACGTTTGTGCTAACACGACTTCTTATATTTTATTTGAGTAATAAGATCAAAATACAGACGTTGAATTATCAAAAACTATAATAGATGTTTTCTTACCTTCATATATACGGTCTTCAAAACGTCAAATATAGCTTTGCAGGTCTCTGGTATTATTTTTCCCAACGACTGAGGAGAAATTAGCGTTGAAAACTTTAAATCTTCATAATTCCTTCCAGTGGCTAAATAGCGAAGTGTGGCTGTTAATCGCTCATGAGGTGATATAGCAGCCCTCAAGATCGTGTCCTGTTTTTTAATTATTGGAGATACTAACTTTAATAGTGTGATGTAACTTTCTTCATCCATTCTGAGGTAATTCCGCCAATCATCAGGCTCTAGGCGTAACTCTTCTAGGAGATTAATATGAGTATACTTTGAGCGTTTCAAAAGCCATTCTTTCACTCATTTTGTTCTTTTTGTTGGCTGTTGAACTAGTTTCCTTTTCTTTTTGCTTAATAAAGCAGCGTACGCCGCTGCTAACAGAAATAAGGTGTCATCACTGCTCATCGTGCACTTCCAAACTAACATGTTTGATAAACTTGTGTGTAAGTGTATGGATAAAGTCTGTTGGCGTACAAAGTACGTCACACATGTGTGACATACATGTATGACGCACATGTATGCTAGTCTGTGGCCACCTTAACATCCCAAAACGTTTGGAAACTGCGCAAGACATGGTGCGTACAAACAAAAAATCTCAAACAGTCCGAAATAGTCTCAGACACTTGTTTAAACCAGAACACTTTTGAGGAGACTACTGTGCCACCTATCGTATATATGAAGAGATGAAGACGGGAAAATACTATTAATCATGTCCATTTTGTTATGTAGCGTATCCCTAAAGTCAGCTCAAATGTTATCTACCCTCAATCATCAATTATTCAAATAAAAAAACATCCTAGCAAATAGCCCAAACAAATTTCCACATGAATGCGCATGAGCAACAGGAACAGTTGTCAACAGTTCAGCCTCGAGAGCAAGAACGATTCGGGACGGTTCAAAACAGTTTAGGATCATTTCGCAGTCAAAACCAGAACAGAGGATTCATCGGTCCGAAATTATCCTCAATTCCTCAATATAAACCAGAACGCTCTATATCAACTGCGCATGATCCTGACGTCCTAGAACCTGAATTTCGCAGAAGCAGAACCAGAAAGTTATTTTTTTCATTCCACGCTAGATTTATTTTTTGGTTAACCCAGGTTAACCAAACACGTGTCACTAAGTTAAACAGTTAATTAACAATCTTGAATCTCATCGATGGCAGTGAACCAGAAAGTAGTTACCAACAACCCTTCTGGAAATATGATGGGTTCTTCTGATTATATAATAGATCCAGCTGTAAGAGAAGTCCATTATGATGATTTTAATAATGATATCAAAATGGATATAGTAAAACACGAACCTATGGAATCGGTCTCTGACTTTGAAAACCAGACATGTTCTAGTAGTGATGAAAAATGTTCATATACCTCTTCCTTAACTGACTGCAAAAATATACTAGTTAAAATTGAGGATGACAATGCTACCTATGAGACTATCAAAATTGAAATAAGTGATGAGAAGTCAAGTGAATGTAACATTTTAAATATTTGTGAATGTAAGGAAAGTTTTGTTAGTGAGGTAGACCTTATCAACCATATAAGTAAGGGATGTGTCAAACCAGACCATTCTGACTTTGATACACCAGGTGAGGAAATTACTTTTTGTTTATGATAATGCAAAGCAATGAGAAAAGCTAAGGTAACAAAAGATAAAAAAACTATTGAAGTAACACAAATTATGTTCAACTTATGTTTCTGAATTGAGAGATATGCGACCTCTTAAGAACAAGAAAAATTGAGCGTGACTCTTTCAAGACTGACCGTATACTAGTCTTCTGTACAGTTTTACCCTTATATCGATTTCTTTCAAAATTTTTTCCAAAATTTTTGTTTTGTATCTTCCTTGAACTACTCATTTCGAAATGAGCAGTGAAAAAGATGTATCCTTCACTATTATGAATGGTAAAACCTATGCAAAAAAATATTCATCCATTCTTAAAAAATGTTTTCAATCATTTTTTACTTCACAATCTTTGTCTACTTTTACCCTTTTTGATGACCAAGGCAGACAAAATCAGAGCTTGTAGATCCATCCTTCCTGTCTACACAATTGAAAAGGGCACTTTATTGATCAATATCACTAAGTAATGTAGTGTACTATATACAGTGTGTAACAATGAAAACTTGACAGAGCCGTTTTTGAATATAAAAAGTAAGATTTTTTAAAAAAGCTTGGACACGTCGATTTCTAATTAAAGGGGGACACCTTTCAGACTAATCAGATTTTTTACAGTATGCACCCCCTTCGGAGGTTGTATTGCCTCTTCAAGAAGTTGTAAATAAGATTCACCAGTTGAATTTTCATCAATGAAAAATGGACCTATAATATATGATTGCCCAATATTCCGGCCCACACATTCAACTTTTGGGGATGTTGGGTATGTATTTCTGCGTATTGTCTTGGGTTTTCATCCGACCAATAACGGCAATTGTGACGGTTCACGCAATTGATGGACTGATATAAAATTAATATCACCAGGAAAACCTGTCTTTACTTCTTTTTTCGTTTTATGAAATTTTAGTTGAATATCATCCATATTATTTTTCTTTATTGAAAAATTGCTAATGAAAAAAGTATTGAAATTGTCAATATTAGCTGTGATGGTATAATTCGAATTGAAAATAATCAGATATTGGTTTATTCCTGTAACTCAAGATATCTCAAGAATCTGAATGAATAATTCAAATGTTTGAGATCATTCAAACACTATAGTGGAATACCGAGTGAAATGAAAAGATAAGGGAGTCAAATATCATGTTTTTGACATCCCCATGATATAGATATCAAATGAAAGGATTCAAGGGTGAAAAATTCAAAATGGCAGAAAACAAGATGGGCATCATAACAGTTTTGAAGAGTTACAATTCGTCTAAGTTTGAATTGAAAAGAAGGAACGTGTCCAGCGATAACTGAATATTAGATGTTTTATAACACTACTAACATCATCTGGTAATTGATATGGGCTGTTGGGTTGTGTACCAGCATATATTTCCAAATTATGGATGTGGAATGATACATTCCTAATCTGATAAAATATGTTATCAAGTTTCAATTGCCTCATTGAGCTTCTGTAGAATTCATCGAGTAATTGCCTTCAGCCTTCAAACCTCCTTGAAATCTAAGCTGGTGTACCACAAGGATAAATTCTTGCTCTTGGCTTACTTGTGATTAATATATATATTTTTTTGTACCCTGGGAGCTGTCTGACTTGTCCATTTAGTCCAAGTCTCCAGAAAACACTGCAGCCTCTTGGGCTTATGGCGTTTATTCTCGCATCTTCTTATGACACCCATTCCATCAGTCTCGTTCCCTGTACTAGTTTGTACAGGTTCCGTGTTGGATGTTCGTCATATTCTTCTGGGCGTAATTTTGTATGTCCATTTATTGCCTGTCTCCTGTGATTCTGTGCCTCACATTCGCATAAGATATGTGGAGCTGTTTCTATCCCTTCGTTGCATAATCTGTAGCTGAGGTCTCTGTTGTACAGCCCCATTTTATTCAGGTGTCCTCTAAGCGGACAATGACCCGTTAGCAACCCTGTAATTATTCTGAGCCGATCCCTACTATATTGAAGTAGTTCTTCGGTTCTTTTCTCGGACGGTTCCCTAATGAATGTTCTACTGTGTTTGTTGCCAGGTACTTTTGTCCAGTACTCTGTGTGCTTCTTATTGGTCCATGTCCTAATCTGGTTTCATACCAATGATTTTGGTACCCCCAGAGCTGGTTTCACTTAATTGTTTATAACTTTTGTAAATTTTATCGGAGCGTTTTCGGACCTCTCCTTAAACTTTCTAGGCAAAAATACGAATCGAATGACACCTTGGTCGTAATTTTTGGACAGGGCTGAAAAATGTCACGAAAAAGAGCTAAATTGAGTACATGTAAACCAGACTATTAGCAGTAGCATGCCAACAAATCAACCAAGATGTGAATTTGTTACCTCTGAGGGTTTGGCTAATTCTGAAGAGAATATATAGCAATTTGAAAACAATCTGTTCAGTGAATTGATTTGTATCGCATAGTTTTGATGAAATTTCAAAAAAAAAAAATAAAAAAATTTTCTTTGATGCTCTGGTATTATCTTACGCAAACTACTCAGTCACCGTGTATGAGCTCAGTTTATTGAAATTCAACAAGAGAAGACTACAAACTCTGCAGAATCCTTGTTTGAGACTTATCACGGGAACTAGAAGACAAAAAGCTGTTTCTCACCATTTGAGTCATTCATGTTGTTTGAATATGGAGACCCGATCACTCATGCATTTTATTCCATTAAACAATCTAAACGAAAATACACAAGTATCTCCATGAAATAATTAGCTATTACACTAACATCTATATATATTTAGTAAAGTAAGATTATACAATTTAGGTCAACAACTTATACTAATCTATTCTGAAGGTTTTTCAGAATGAGTTTTTGATTTTTTTTTAACATTTGTTTTCAAATTTCTATTGGCAAATTTCAAAGTATGATAAATTCTCACTCTTGTGAAAAGAGAAAATAAATAATCCTGATGAAAATTATCACAAGGGTGAGAAATGTTGATTTTTGAAAACATTGTTTTGAGCTGGTTGCCTATGCAATCATTGGCACATAAATTATAAAAATTATAAGGAAATTCTGTCTCTAGATGAATGATACTTTATAAAAATGAATCTGGGGAGGCATATATAAACTTCGAAAGTGAATGGCTTTTGTATGCCTTGAAATAACTATATACATTTGTTTCATTCAGTGTGATACTAGCCGCTGTGGCAAAATTTGTACATAATTTATATGAATGTTTTCTTGAACATTTTCTTAAAAGATATCCACAAACATAGCCCAAGCTGTTGCCTTCGAGAAGAATGGCTAGAGTTCTGTAATCATTTGTCTCTACTCTCATAGGTTCATAGGGATTTTTTGGAACTTCCACAAGAATCTTCATTCTATTTATGTTAGCATCTGTAGTATTAGATAGAATCTCACTAGTATCTTCTAGACAGTTAGTTCCTTCTGCCTGTGTGAAATACTGAATAGTAAATTTGTTTTTGAAAGCTCTGGTAATTTGAACAGAAATTGGGTTTCTGGCATTTCCACAAGTATATTTCTCTGTTGACCAAAATAATTTTCCACATAGTCCTGATTTATATTCCTCGTCAATATGTAGGAGTGTCCTTCACTATGTAGGTTTTCCCAAAGTTGCAGAAATGCCGAAATTGTTATCTGCCACCCCTTAATGAATCTCATTTGTCCAGTCGTGTTTTTTCCTTTTTTTGATATGACAGTTAATTTGCTGAAAAATATTTTCATTTCTTTCAGAAAATCAATTTGTTTTGATGTTCTGAAGAAAGGTTTATTGAAATGTTGGACATCGTCATATTGATTTGAATTCAATATATCAAACAATTTATTCATTTTTTCAATGAATATAGCCGTCCCATTTTTTCAATGAATGTAGCAGTCCCGATTGCTGCTGAGGTAGTTTAGCAAACGTTTATTCTATTTGGTTTTGAATCGTTTTCCTGAAATAACTTTTTTATATTATTGGGTTGGTTGTTAATCAAAACTTCAGTATAAAATACAGATTTCTTAGTTTTGGGTTGCCTAGTTTGCTAATTATGAAGGGTGTCTATCAAATGAAAATCTAATGTTTTTTGTTATTGATAACAGAATGTAAGAATAGACATATTTACTTTTTATATATTATTTAGAACATATGAATGGAAAGTAGGCTCCAAAAAAGGTTATTTGAATATACATTCGATAGTTTGGTTTTGCAGATATTTCAGTGAAAGTAATATTTCTCCTACAGATACATGCTATTCAAATCAAAAACTTATGTGGTTCAACAATTATTTCCCTTTGTGGATTTCTAGTGGAACTCTGATTGTTTTGTCATTTTATATCATTACTTGTGAGGCATATACTATTTGCACGGTTCAATTTCATCAAATTAATTTCAAAAATAGTCTGCATATTAATGACCCCACTATATGTGGTCTATAACAATTTATTTTATGATTTTCGTTTTATGTTCATTCCTTTAATCTTACATAATAAATACTAGAAAAACATACCTTTTTTTGTTAATTGAAAATCGAAAAAAATTAATGCCGACATCACCCTGCAAATTACAGGGTTACAAATACAAAACCACCACTTACAACGACTCACTCTGTAATAATATTCCACGCCTCAACTTGGCTCGCTTGGTAAATGCATCAGATTTAGTCGGTTGCGCTGTAGGTCGACTGAGCATAAAATTGGAGATGGGGAATCTTGACCCAAATATGGCGGAGAGTGAACTTACTTGTGTTTCCTTCTATACGGTGCTCAGAGTATGATGATATGTGCAGAACTGACTGAAGAACAATATACTAAGTGATACTCTTATGAAAGTAGTCAAGGAATAGCTTTTACTTGAATAATTCTTTTTCATTTTCGGTACAAACACTTTGAATAGCCTGAAGAACAATATGCCTGAATTAGAAACCTTGCAAGAGGTGCGATTCAAAAATTATTTTTCTTCCTTCATCCAAATTCATTTTCTGTACAGACACTTTGAATGGACTGTGGAAGAATATACCAAAAGATGAGTCATTTTTTAATGTTTAAGGGGTGGTTTATATTCAAGAAAAATTTGCAAAATTTCTGATTGTTTCCTTAAAAATGTTAAGCCAAATTCATTTGCCCAATGGATACTTGGAAGAGATGATTCAAGGCCTACTGAGGAGTAGTCTATACTAGAATAAAATTTTCAAAAATTCGGATTGTTGATTCTATTCCAGTACAAATAGTTCGACTAAACAATACTAATCTATACAGGATAAGTTCAATTGAAGTAACAAACTTTAAGTGCCATAATCCACTCATTCAGTGTTTTTTAAAATGAGACTAATGCTAATAACATCTACAGGATGTTACAATCTTGCTGAAATTGATCAATCTTGATGTAGATATTTGCCTTTTTATTTTATATTTCACTTCTATTCTGCTAACCAAATATTTTGCCATACAATAAAATTGCATTTAATGGAAATATTGTTTTTTTTTTTCAGATTTTGGATCGCAGCAAGAAATGTCTTGCAAAAATGAAATAACCGATGAAGAACTTTTAGCCGGTGTATCACAGGAAAGCCCATCTAGCTACAAGATCATTTTGAAAAATTCTGAAACTTGTAAAAAGCAATTTCGTTGCGAAGTCTGCTTGAAATTTTTCACTCGCAAGAGTGCTTTAAAAACTCATGAGAGATATCATACAGGAAAGAATTTGAATTACTGCAAGTTCTGCCCGAAAACTTTTAGTAAGTTGTGTAATTTGAGAAGTCACGAAAGAATACATACAAACGAAAATCCATTTCGATGTAAACTGTGCCCCAAATCTTTTAGTGTACAAAGTAAGCTGGATATCCATGAAAGAACTCATACAGGTGAAAAACCATTTCATTGTGAAATCTGCTCCAAGTCTTTCAACCGATTGGACAATTTAAAAGTTCATATAATGACTCATACAACGGAAAAACAATTTCAGTGCCAAAGCTGCTTGAAATCTTTCAGTCAACTAAGTTATTTGAAAAACCATGAGAGTATTCATTTACAAGATAAGCCATATCGTTGTAAATTCTGCCCAGAATCTTTTGCTCGTGGACGCTGTTTGAAAAGCCATGAAATTATTCATACAGGAGAGATACCTTTCCAATGCAAAATTTGCTTGAAATCATTCAAAAGGCTTGAATATTTAAAAAGTCATGAAATAAGTCATACAGGAGATAAACCGTTTCATTGTGGAATCTGTGCAAAATCATTTTCTCAGCGGCGCTTTTTAAAAGCTCATGAGAAAATACATACAAAAAACAAATGTAAAGCCAGGCCAGCTTCAAATATTTCAATAAAGAAGAGCGTTTGAAAAATAATAAAGATGTAGCTTTCAAAACCGAGATATCCATATTTGCAAACATTCTGAAAAGAGTAAATAATATTTTGATAAGTCAACTCAAATTTGAAATATTGGAAATACCTGTGTGGAAAGCTGTATGTATGTCCATAATCATTACTAGATTACTAGATACTAAAAATAAACAAAAAAATTAAGGTCCAGGAAAAACTTGGATGTTGGACCAAATAAAGTGGATAATGGTGTGATAGATTCTTGTAGAGAGTATTTCAAACAATATAATATTTCATCTCTTGCATCAGTCTATTTGAAATGTGTGTATGTATATGTGTTTAAAAAAAAAATTCATATTGAATAAGAGTTTTCACCACCAAAATACGAAAATCAAAAACCAGTTCCATGTGCCAATTGCGAAATTTTTATTCTTTTTATTTGGTATTTGAAGGAACTGAGCTCATATAATTTTTTTATTTGAAGTGATAGTTTGTTATATAGTTTCGGACCTATATAAAAGAGGTTGTTTTGGGCGAGACTTTTCGTAAATAGCGGTATGTCATTCGATTGGTTTGTTATAAATCGATTTGTAATAGTTTTGTTGGAATAGCAACCATTGGTTCATATGTAGTTTTTCAACGTTAAAGATGTCTAGTTCTTCGTAAAGCCTATCAGTGAAGAAATGTTTGGTTTTTTGAAACCTATTTTCAGTATACAGTTCTGAGTAGTTTTTAAATTTTGTAATCCATCATTATATGATCCTCCCCATATTACTTAACAGTATCTATATATGTATATATAAGTTTTGAGTTTCGATTGTCAAAAATGTAGGAATCACACGTTAAAAGGTAAGACCTCGTTAGTCCTTAGCTCGCACAAGTTTTTCAACTTCTGAGAGTTGTCGTTCGTATGGGGGCGACAGCTGATTAACAGAAAAACAGATTTTTTTTAACAGATGTAAAATTTTCGAATTAATTGTCTAGCTTTGTTGTTTACATATTTCGCATGCTCATTCCATTTTAGATGGACCAAAGATATTTCATTTTTTTGGTTTTTTTGAATAGATGGACAGTTGCAGTTAGGTTGAGAGCATATTTTGTTATGAAGCATTTTACTTCTGTTTGCTTGTGTGTCAACATTTGTAGAAAATGTTATAAATTAACTTTTAGATGTATTCAGAGACAATTCGCCATAATTTACCCATTGTGAGATTTTTTATAAGACCCTTTTCAGCTTCATCAAATAGATTATTCCAGTTTCTATCAGTAAACAAAATTGCTGTATCATCAGCGAATGAAAAAATATGTTCTTGGAAATCTTTAAAATTTTGCTGTCGAGTTGATACACAAAAAAAAAATAATCAGGCCTAGAACTGTGCCCTGCGGTACACCTGCCTTCTCGGCAAAATATTTTGAGATATAGGTCTCATTCAGCACCTTTCATAGTAATGTAATCATGCAAAAAATCCCCATCCACAAATATTTTGATAGGAGTTATTGAATTTAATTTTGAAAACATATAAGCGTGTGTGGGGGTAGGTTTCCTGCCTGGCAAAATATTATGAGATACATCAATATAATGAATCAATATTCATTTCTTGAAGAACATTCTGCAGTGAATTTTCATCAATTATTAAATAAAGTCGTAGCTGTTCTCCAATGTGCAACATATTTTGGGTGCCGCTGACGACCGGGTGCCGTTGACTCTCGCTACAAACCCATGGCTGCCTTCACATTCGTAAAATCCTGTACTTTCCTTAGTTATCAATTTCTGTAACTTCAAATTTCCAACTTTGATATCTTAAAAACTATTTCCTCTAGAAGTTTGCTACTTATTTCCAAATTTAGATACATCTTTCCTTAATATTTATGTAAATACATATTTAACCTCACTTATGTTTAAACATATAAATTTCTTGTTAGCATCATGTCATGCCCGTAACTAGGGAAACGCTTAACAACAATAATTTTTAAACTTTTCGTCATTGTGTAATGTGATTGTGAAGGAAAACTGATTTAACAAATGTTTGATTGATTGTTACGTAACTGGCTGTTAAATAACAAAAGCTTCGTTGGGTGACAAAGACTGTCTTGCAGTTTGCAAGTCTGTCCGAAATGAGTTCCACTGTGAAAATAAAACTATCGTCTTCTTTATAAAATATTATTGTTGCGATCCTACTCCCACGTGGACATCCGGTTCACCCCGGCCTCCAACCGGCGTGAATGGGAGTACTATTTATTTTTGAATCACAAGCAATTTTTATTAACACTATTATTACGTGTTTTTCTACCTGAGGGTTGTAAATGGCTTCTGGCGGTTCTCCTACCTGCGATGGTTCATTATCAATTTGAGAACCGCCAGAAGCCATTAACAACCCTCAGGTAGGAGAACTGCCAAAAGCTATCAACAACCCTCAGGTGGAAAAACAGGTAACAAATCCATACAACTTACGCAAGCGAAACCATATAAAAACACCACAAGAAGAACCTAACATCAGTTACACCTCTCGAAGCGAAGCAGTAACTCGTCTTGATAATGCCATCTGAGATGATGGCGAAACGTCGACTATCGAATAGNAAAAATAGTTTTTATATTCTAGAGGAGTTTTACAATTATTCCAATATACTTATAACGTTTTGAATGTTCCTGATAGAGTAATAAATGACAAAAAATGTTTCATTATTTTTATTTATACAATATATAGTTAATACAGATATATTTTAGAATATAAATGAGCATTTTAAATTGTTTGTTTGATTTGCCACGTGTACATTGTAAGTTATATTGGTGAATAAATCTATTCTATTCAACATCTGTGATGCACAGAAGTTTTTTTACAAACTGAAACAAAAAGCCCTCGTGAATCAACTACTTTTATATGAACATGGAATTTCACGAAAGAAAAATTCCTTTCAAAACAACTGCTTTCATATGAACATTGAATTACACAATAAAACATTCTTTTTTTAAATCAAGAAAATGAATATTTCTAAATGAAATTTTCTATGATTCATCTCTCCCACCATCCTACACAGTGGGTTCTGGTAAATGCCTCCTGGAAAGCAACTACTTCCCCGGCTAATACCACGTTGGATATTGAATTATATCTGACAGACATTTATTCAAGATACCTCATAAAGGTTAGTCTTGCAGATGTTTCTCCTTAATCCATAATTCTGCTGTAATATTATGTACTGAAGTGCCATATTCTAAATGCTTTTTATACATTTCAATAAGTAACCTGAATTGATTTCTTTGATACTATTCACGAGAGCCATTCATAAGTACCTTTTCAGTTAATCTTTATGTACCTTGCTGTTATGTCTTCTCAAATTTGAAATATTAGAGAATGTTTTCAAACAAATATCACAATGAGATTCAACCGGTCTATGTTTACTTTCGATATGGTATGCAAGATCAGTCTTTATCAAAAAACTTTTCGAGCAATCATTACATGTGAACGGTTTCTCTCCTTTATGACGCATCAAGTGTTTTTTCAAAGTGGGAGCATGAGCAAATCTTCTTGGGCAAACCGAGCATTTGTATCGTTTCTCACCAGTGTGTGTTCTCAAATGAACTGACAAGATTGAGCGAGTGGAAAAGCTTCTTGAACAAATGGCACATTTGTGAAGTTTGGTTTTCGAATGTATATCCACGTGAGTTTTCAGATAGTTATAGTGGGAAAAGCTTTTAGAACAGGTCTTACACTGATAGGGTCGCTCGCCTGTGTGAATTCTCATATGTATCTTCATGTTTGCCTTCTTGCTAAAGGACTTTAAACATTCTACACACTTGAATGGTTTCTCACCAGTATGTATTCTTAAATGATTTTTGAGACCGTACTTTTGTGAGAACCTGTAAAGAAAATTTAAGTAATTAAGGTTACCTATGTATATCAGAATAAAAACAGATAAAATATAACTCAAACTGAGTAAAAAAAGGAAATGTATACCATATAAGAGATGAGGGATGTCACTACAGGGAATTTGAAAAGGTTGAAGATAGAAAGAAGGCTAAATTTAAAAAAAAAAAACATCTCACTTGAGAACATCAGCCATTATTTGAAAATGAACAAACTAAAACTGTCTGTACAGAAAACACAATGCATAATTATTAAAACACCTTAAAAATACAAGAAAATAGATATATAGAGAAAATTGATAGAAAATGAGTGATGAGTAATTAACAACGAAGATTTATTTTAGACAATCACCTTAAGTTTTACACACACTTTGAATATATGTTTATTTATTAACTTATTTATGGCAATGCCTATTTTTACAAAATAATTAAAAAGTTCACACATATGTATTTAACAGTAGGTAATCCAAGCTAGGTTTAAGGGAAAAAATATATAAAATAAAAAAATCGTAAAAATAAGTTAATGAATTACAATCTTAGTGGAAAATAGTACTCCAGAGCTGTATAGAGAATATTGTTAAAATTTGTAACTACAATATTTAAATCCTCATCCTTCAGTATTTCGGTATCCCAATTGATACATGCCAAGAAATTATTCATGCCCATAAAATCTCCATTTACATCATTTTTTATATCAAAACATACTGAAGAATGATGTAATGTATCCATAGCCTTTCTCTATGGAAGGCAGAACTGGCGAAATTAGGCGAAATTCCCTCTGAGCATATTTCTCAGTTGATAGGTTGAGTAGGTACTTGTTCGCATTCGCTTGGTGGATAAAATGGATAAACAGTAGAGAACGCACAATAAATTGTTCTTCTGAGGTGGGTCTAGGAATAATTATGGATATTTAAACTTTGTTAGTGTGATTACAGAGTAGAGCCTCGTTAATTCGGACCTCTGTTACTACGGTGCACCCTGTAATCCGGACAGGCGAGAGAGTCATGTGGTGGGACGTTCGCGGAGGAAGCGGTAGGTGCGGGTTAAAACGTGTCAATATTCAACCTTTTTTTTTAAGGCCAAAACACAAGCACTACAGGAAAATCCTTAAGGCGCTCTTAGAACGGTGCCTGTGCGGAAGTGGCGATTCACATTGAATTTGAATGGCTGGAGATCAAATCCGTTTGAAAAAACGTTCTCAGTTCGAGGTGTACTGAGTTGAACCTCAAATTAATGAGCAGCCACAGTCCGTCGCATATTTCTGATATGTACCGCTCTTGGTGGAATCAAATGTGCCAAATCAGTTGAACACTTCTCGTGAAATTATCTAAAGAAGAGACATCTCCAACCTTTCTTCGATGTTGCAGATTATCAAGGATGCAAGTGATGTTCCTGTCTGCAATCAGGCGGTTGGCTCTTCACTGGATGGAATCCAGCAGCTTCAGTGTCTGCTTAGGGGAGGACCTCCATACACGAGAACAATACTACATCAGCACTTCTGTCTGTATTAGTACTGCAGAAATGATTTATCAGGTATATGTGCAAGATTAAGCCTTGTGATTCATGCAGACACAAATTCGTTGAAGAAAAGATTCCAACAGCGATTGCTTCGTTTATTTTGGAATCGGTTTGCCTCATTTACAAAAATATGTCCCTATTCTAGGCTTCATGCAATTCTTATGGCACTCGTTCCACCACGTTGAAATTGCCGTTTCCTTTAACTAATGTCGCCAGGGATTCTATTTATTACAATGGGGGGTCAAGATGTTTAATCACTTGCCCTCAGAAATAAGACAGGCAAATTTGAGCAACAAAATGTTTAGAATAAAAGTAAAAACATTTCTGGTTGATAGACCCTATTATAATTTGCCTATAATAATGATAAATTTACGTGACAAATTGTGCATATTCAAATATAGGTTGTATGAGATTTTTGTTTATATTCTTGCTTGGATATAAATGTTTCGTTTGTCTGGTGTAATAGGTTTGTTCATTTAAGTAATATATATAAGTATGTATATATGTATATAAGGTTTGACAATAGATTGAAACAAATCTGCACACAACCATGTTGATACAAAATTTGACAATGAAATTCATAGTGTATGTTCTAAATTTACTTTTTTGTAGGTGTTTTCATATTCACATTTTATATTTCTGCACTTACATTTATATTTATTTTTCACAAGCTTTGTCCACAAGATGTATTCTTAATGACAAACTATATTATTATTATTATTAAAGAAGGTCTGATCTGAGCTTTATAAAGCATTAAAAGTTGCTGAGGTGTGTAGAGTTTTCTGGTTCGGAACAATGTTCCAAGTTTTTGAGAAGCAGCCTTTGCGATTCCAGCGACGTGATTGTGCCAAGACACATTGGTTCATTTTAATTCCCAACAAACTTATCGAAGCAGAAAATGGAATTGTCTGTCCTGACATTATTATATCCGGTTCTGAGACATGCATCTTTTGGAGAAAACCGATGCCTGAGTTTTTGTGGCATTGAATTGTCACAACAGCTCTTGCCATCACTCATCAGTCTTTTGTTTATTACCGTGCAGTGTTTGTTAATTTAACGAGCGTTCACTGACAAAATGGTACCGCCGCGCGGCGAAAACATTTTACATTGTCAATAAAAGACAAATTGCTCACATTGCTCACAGGAACTCGGCCTTTCGCAGACCACAACTTGACGGATTTTGCGTCGTGACTTAGGTCTGCACCCAAGCAAAATTCAACTGAACCAGGAACTGAAGATAAACGACCATAGATAACGACGTGTTTTCGCTGAATGGGCTCTAGAGCAGTTGGCAACTGACCCTAATTTTTATCGAAAAATTATCTTAGATAAGAAATGTTACGATCCATGTGACAACAATCCTGCCAATTCTCGGAAGTTTGCAATGCAATGCGCTAAAGATAACGAATTTGATAGCCACCAAGTTATATTACTTTGTCAACTTAGAAACCTTGCTTTTGAAATGAAAATTTATAAGCAGATGTATATTAGACTTTTTTCAGAATAATTGACTAATTTTTTTCAATTTCACTTCAAGTTGAAAATGTTTTATTTTCTATTAAAATATTGCATACTATAATCCATATGCCTCGATTCATTCGCAAGGGATCTTGTTTTTCCCTATCCGGATTAGCGAGGCCCTACTGTAATCAAATCTGTCAGTGCAAAACAGAAGTGCAAAGGAATCGTAATTATGTTAAGTACTTACCTATATAAGACAATTCTATAAATCGCAAGAATACCAGTTATATTTCTACCAATCATAAAATCTACCGAGCTAAAAGTCTATCACCTTACAACTCTACCAGTTTGAAACTACCACGTGAAAAGTATACTTTAAGAATTACTACCATTTACAACTCTACCAGAATCGTGACCAACCACAAAAATGTCTACCATCTACACTAGTACCATACACAAGCTTAGCTAAAACAACTCAACTTTTTAACAACTATACCAGAATCAAATCATATCAATGATAAACATCACCTGAAGATATTGATATAATTTGATCCAGGATGACGCTGTAGGGCAGCCTGATTACATGGTCTCAGTTTTTATATTGTTCCAAAATCATGTATTTTATATTATACTTGTTTATTTTTGGTAAATTGGGCTGCAACTGAATTGTGTTTAGGTGATCAAAATCGTAAGATATACATAATCTCATGATGACCTAAATATTTTGTGGCAGAATATCGTGTTAAAAACAATACCAACCTTTTGGAGCAAAGCGTGCATGGATATGGTTTTTCGCCTGTATGAACACGAAGATGACTCAGCATTTCACTTTTATGGTAGAAAGTTTTTGAACAGAATTTGCACTCCACATGTTTCTCTTTGTGGATTCTCAAATGATTTCTCAAATAGGAGGAGTGATGGAAACTTTTTGGGCATAGCATACATTGAAACAATTTCTCTTGTTTCATATGATATTGCATATGATGTTTTAAATAACGTTCAATAGGAAAGTCCTTTGAGCATAATGAACATTTGTATGGACGAAGAACACTGTGTATTTTCACATGCTGGGTCAAGTCCCTTTTTTCATAAAAACCTTTCAGACAAGTTGCACACTTGAACATTTTTTCTCGCTTGGCATGGATTTTCATATGTTTACTAAGGTTAGTTTTTCTGAAGAAGGTTTTTGAACACTGTTGGCACTTAATATGAACTTTAGGTGCATGTGTTTTCATATGTGTTTTCAAGTAACTTTCCATAATGAACGATTTTGGACAAATAGAACATTTGAATAATTTTTCGGTATTATGGGTTTTCATGTGTACCGAAAGCCTGTAGTTAGTTGGGTACGAATTGAGGCAAATTGAGCACTGAAAATCCCTAATATTTGTGTGTACTGCATGGTTATGCTTCTGCAAAGAACTTTTCTGAGTAAATGTTTTTGAGCAAATAGTACATTTAAATGGATGCACCCCAGAATGTACTCGCATATGATTTACTAATGTATCTTTTCGCGCAAATTTTTTTTTACAATTGTGACACTCCAATAGTTCCTGATTATTTTGTGAATCCTTCAAGCAGTATTTGCGTGTGTTATATTTTGGAGAGGATTTTTCTTCCACATGCATTCTCATGTGAAGAGCTAAATGTCTCTTAAAAAACTTTTTCTTACAAACATTGCATTCACTGCGAACATCACTAAGATTATTCAATGGATTTTCAATACTAGCATCACACTTTCTTTCAATTCGATCTCTCTTAAGGCTCTGTTGCAAGCTTGCTATGTCATCAATCCACTTTTCTTTAAATAAGATAATTTTGCAAGGCTTGATGTTATAATCTTTTTGACTTTTTCTTGAGTGCCCCTTTATATGATTTTCTTTGGATATTGATGAAGAAAAACCTAAAACATAAAAGAAAAATTTAAAACTTGGTTAAATTTGAGATATAAATGAGAAAATGCAATTCCAGTTCAAATGATAAATGATTATTAGGATTAGAGAAAAAACAGTGGTCAAATGGAACTTGTAGCATCAAACGTTTCGTCTGCTATTGCAGCAGACACCATCAGTTGTATTTCGAAGTCTCAGCAACAACTAACTCAGGTGTCAATCTCGGGAGAAATAATCATATGCAATCAAAGATAAGAAAGTCAAAGTTTCAGTCATATTTCGAAGAAATTTGGGCAAATGACATAAATGTGAATAATATGAAACCAATCATATTTGGTTTTCCATGATGAACCAGTTGCTTAAATACCAAAAATAATGGTATGATGAACTTAACTCTTTCAGTCTTGGTGGTGCACAAATGGTACCACATTATTTAATACCGACGTGTCATAGTGGTATATTTTACGTACCATTTAATCAAAAATTATTTCCAAACGCTACGCTAGCACAGAAAGTGTACCACTTACTTATATGTATTACTGGTCATCTACTTTAACTTTTCAGGCAGTCACCATTTGTTGGGACAATACATGACTGTTGTGTACTGTCATTGTGGTTAAAAACGCATGGAGTGTGAAAGTCAAAACTTCTTTGGGTCTACTTAGTGGAAGATAGTTGAATTTTACTGAACATTTTCTATGAAAGTGATTATTTAATGTGCGATTGATCTTTACAAATACTGGTTAGTATAAAATTTGCTTGTATAAAATACTTTTGTCGAAAATCGAGGAGGTGTTATATTTGTACCACCGTGACACACGGGTGTTTTCTGTTTAGAAAATGGATGACTTGCCGTTCAGATTACAAGGATGGACTATGGCGGACTTTTCACAAGAATACGAAAATCTTCCATCCGATCAGGAGTCGGTTGTGGATGATTTTGATAATCTAAATCAATTAGATGAATCTGAATATGCCGCAGAAGATAACGATAATTTTGAATTAGACATGCTGCCAAACGAAGAATTATCGAAATATTCAGATGACTCTGATGATTCTGAATGGAATATGCCATTGAACCAAGTTAGGACCAAAAATGTACATTTACGATATCAAGCTGACCCTAATTAGGGCCACAGCTTCAAAATAGCAGCACCACCTGATTTTATCCATTATTGAGGAATAACTGCTCTAGTGCGAAACATTTCAAATCCCACCCCATACAATTTCTTCAAACTACTTGTGGACGATAAAATTATAGAAAACTTAGAGTTTCAGACGAATTTGTATGCAACACAAAAATATCAGAGATTGGGAAAAAGATTTGAGCCTACAAATCTCACGGAAATCAAAACTTTTCTGAGCATAAATTTGCTAATGGGGATCAAGAGCTTTCCTAGTTACAAAGACTATTGGAGCTCAAGCCCTGATTTACATGATGCATATATAAGCAAACTTATGCCACTCTACCGCTTTGGTTGGCTGCTAAATCAGTTACATATCAATGATAATGATTTATTGCCAGATATACTAGATCCAAATTTTGATAAACTGTATAAGGTGCGTCCCTTTCTCACTAAACTCTCCAAAAATTTTGAGAAATGTTTAGAAACTGATAAATGTGTTGCGATTGACGAATCTATGATTAGATTCAAAGGCAGAAGTAGTCTCAAGCAATACATATCAAAAAACCCATCAAACGTGGGTATAAAATTTGGGCACTAGCAGATAAAAATGGCTATTTATACAGATATGAACTATATACAGGTAAAATGGTTGATAGAGTTGAAGAAAATTTGGGCGCAAAAGTGGTAAAGAATTTGATGCGTGGTCTTGAAGGAAAAAACATCATCTCTACTTCGATAATTACTTTAACTCCTATAAGTTGCTCTTAGAACTGAATGATCAAGATATCCATGCATGTGGAACTGTTAATAGTACCCGAAAAAATATTCCCAGAATGCTGGATGATAAAAAGTTGCTGAGGGGAGATTTTGACTGGAAAACCAGTGATTCTCGATATTTAAATGGAAAGACAAAAGATCTGTTCATTTGCTTTCTAATTTTCATGATCCCCTAGAAACAACAAGTGTGCGAAGACGGCAGAAAACGGAGAAATTGTAGAGGTACCCTGTCCTAGAGTTCTTGTTGACTATAATGTGAACATGAACTTTGTGGATAAATTTGATCAGCTGAAAGGTAGTTACGAGAGCCACAAATGGTGGCAACGTATTTTTTTCCATTTCTTAGACGTGTGTGTGGTCAACTCATATATTCTGTTTAAACTTCACCACAGACAAATTATTTCACATAAAGACTTCCGCAGGAAAGTAATCGATGGCTTGCTATCTGCCAAATTGATCTCTTTAAAAACCAGATCAGATCATGATCCGATAGTTATTAAAAAACATAGACCAACAGTATCTGCCGAAGTGAGGCTGCAAAGTTCTGCTCATCAGCCGGTTCGTGGAACTAGAAGAATATGTGCCAATGTAGTACAGCAAAAGCACAAGCGCGTACAGAATGGATGTGCTCTGTATGTGGTGTACCTCTATGTTTATCTAAAACTAAAACTTGCTTCCAAGATTTTCATGCAAAGGCGGCGGAAACCTTTATTTTATCGTATCTGATTAAAACCATTGTAACAGGCATAGTGGTACATATAGTGTACCACCCCCCCAGGAGTTCCTGAGCTCATTGGTGACCAAAACCTATATTTTTCCAGATTTATATTTATTCAATAAGTGTAATAAAAGTTGCAATAACTAATATTTATTTTCGCGTGACGCATGGGTAAAATACTGGGTAATTTTCTTGTGGCTGAAAGAGTTAAAGAGGTAAAAGTACTGAACAGAGCTTTCTGATGCACAAATGTAATGTGATGTGACTCCTGGTACTGACTCTGAATGTGTTTTCAATAACCAATATATTGATAAAAGCTAATAACTGATAGAATAACTTTATTTTCTGATAAACCAATTGCAGAAAAGTGAAATAAATTTGTAAAAATAGTCCCATTTTTTGAGTTTGACAATAATGAATACCTGACCATATTTCCAATCATACTCAAAATTATGAATAACAATACCTAGTCAGTTCAAACAGCAATATGGATTTTATGAATTCTGTCTGTCTGTCTGTATAAAGGTTGCATGTAGAGTCACTCAGTAAATCCGGTTTGTAAATATTCACATTGATATTTTTTTATGTCTCAATATTTGACTGCGATAATTTTTTCATTTGGTACACTGCCTTAAAACATCATTATTTTATTATTTCAATTATCCTTACTATTACAAATAAATTCAGATTATAATAGTATTTTCATTCATTCTATTGTAATTGTATTTTGAGTTATTCAAAACGAAGATGCTTCATAAAAAAGTGTTACATTTTCGACATTTCCCTTTAAA